CTGACATATTCAGCCCGTACCCCTTGTTTCATGATGGAGGAGAAATTCTTCGTGGCAGTTCGATGCATGTCCAGGTAGTCCCAGCGGAACCCATCAAAGGACACCAAAATTACAGTATCCTTTCGCATAGAATAAACGCAGTTAAACCAATGAAAGCATGAAATGAAAAAGAAAATTTTCAGAAATACCATTTTAGCTAAAGTAGAACAAGGAAAGACAGGAAAAATAAATTAAAAAGAGCAAATTGTCCACCTGTTGGGGATATTCTCAATGGGTAAATGCTGAGGGTAATCATTGGCTGCATGATCACGTGACAAATTTGCGAACCTGGTGACGAGCGATTCGATGTTCTTTCCACGTGCGGCTTTTCCATTACTGTAATTTTATGTTTTGTATCGGTGTTCGGAAAGGAATCGTATTGTTTTAGCCATGTTAGTCCTTTTCGAAACGTCGGCAGGCTATGCGATCTTTAAGGTAAGTGTCTTACCTCTAAAAATGGCAACGATTTTTTTTCATACGGCGAAATCTGGCTCCTTTTGCAGTCGGAAACCCTTCTGTTCTTCGCTCCAAATCAACTGAGTTTGACTCGATTGGTGTTGAAATCTTAAACTTTGCTTCTTCAGCTCCTCGATGAGAAGAAATTGCACAAGATCGATAACCTGTATAAGGATTTTGAAACGCCAGATGCCGCCAGCAAAGTGTAAGCATCGTCTTGTCGTCTAATGATCTACTTTATTTCCTAATTTAATCTACCAAGTCTAGCTTGAAATTTTGTTGCAATTTTAAACCTTCTGATTTCCGTGATTTCTTACAAATTGATTTGTATTTTTCAGGGTTAAATTAAAGCATTTTGAAAAGTTCAATGATACAACTGAAGCCTTAGCAGGTTAGCAGACTACATGGATAATATAATGTTTACAGTATTTTTTTTTTGGTAGTGCTCCTCTAATTTCTATTTATTGTAATGTTAATCAGGGTCAGTAATATCAGTCAAGGCTGTTTTATAGTCAGCTTGTTGAGCAAGCCAGCTAACCTGTAGGGTATTGAAAAACCTCATGTAAGGCATGTTACCGTTGTGTACAGCGTGGGGGATATGGGGATTCTGAATACCGCAACACCGCAAACAAAATAGAACACCACATCACTGCAAGAGATATTATCAAGGCACTGACACCCTGAAATAAGGGTGTCTCTGGCTCCACTTATCTTTACCATGTGCTAGTCTTTGGCTGGCCGATAATGCTTTTAGTAGAGGTTCAGAGGTCAAGGATAGTATAAATGAAAACGGCCTGGGGTCAATCAACTGATGTTTATCAAAGATTAACTCGGATGTATTGCTTCTTTTGTTCAACAAATAACCGTGGGCTATTGAAATCTAGTTTTTTAAAAAAAACCCCTAGGTTTAAGACCGCTGCAACACCACAAACCCCAATATCCCCCTCTACAGGATGAAAGTACAATCCTCTAGCTTAACTAACTGTCTTCTTAGAAGGGCAAAACGTAACAATGTTTTTGCCTGTTCAACTTTTTTCCTGGAGCATACCTATTTTTTTTTTCAAAGCAGGGTCTGTTTTGTTAGAATTAAAGTACACACCAGATCATCATGCTGGCATTCATGTTTTGTTTTACTCTTTGACATTTTTCTATTAGTTAAGCAGTGGACCTTGGGGCGTAGATGAGAATTGCTGTAGGCTTGCTGCTTAATCACTGAACTTGAGTTAACAGTTTGATGACTTTTAATTAAAAGTTGGAAAAAATTTTTGCTACTTACTATGGCAACTGAAATGGTTGCACCCTAGAGCAGTGGTATATCATTCAACTGAAGATTGTTACACAGTAACCAAGGGGATGGTTGATCAGCACTCTGATTTATTACATGACTCGGGCAGTCAGAGGGCCAATAACTAAAATCAACCAATCAAAATGCTCTATTGCCGGTCAATATTCTCTCGGTATTGGACCGGGCACTGTCCCGAATGGTCCTGAATGATACCGCACTTGTGTCCCTTTGAACTTCAGTCGTGTAATAAATCTCTTATGAACCAATAAAGGCTGATAGTTTCGAAAGAAACTGTTTGGGGCTGCATCGGTGGGAGTAACGAAATAATTTGGATATATCAACAAAGTTGAAATGGTAAATTGGCCACCGTAATGATTACAAAAGCTGACGTTTCGAGCGTTAGCCCTTCGTCGGAGCGAATAGAGGAATTGTGGGTTGTGTGTGCTTTTAAAGGCAGAAAATGGAGCTACGTTATTGGTGGGTGCATGGCAACGAGAAAAACATGAATAAATTAGTGGAATGAAAAGCGTTCATTGATCCCTGTGGGATT